TTGCTCAGAGGTTCCCAATGGCCTCCTCTCCCAAGTAAAACTGCCAGAAAAACAAACACAAAACCCAAAGAGCAAAGCCTTCACAAGGAAGGAACTATCCTAATACATCTTGAGTATTAGAGTCAGGCTGGACAGTGGTACAGGATGACCTGAAATTGGGGAGGACAGGTTGCTAGAAAGTACGTGCATTCACTCTGATTTCTTGGTTTGAATTTTCAGCAAAAGAGTTGAAGTTACTCAATTCTTAGTCTCTTACAATATATGAACCTATGGAGATTTTTTATTACCAAGGGTAGAATTAATTTCAGATGAAAAAGCTTTGCTCACGTTGTAAGCAAGGTCCTTGTTGACCCAAATGTATGGCCTAAAAATACAATAATTAAATATGCTGCAAAGCATGTTTGTTTTTTTTTGTTTGTTTGGGTTTTTTTTTATTATCTTTACCAAATCAGCTCCACAAGAATTACAGGCTTTATTTTCTTATTAGTTGCACCTGTTTATTACTAGACTAATGAATCCATCAAAGCTTAAGGATAACATCAGTACCCAGAGAAGAACCTCAGAATCATGTAGCTAGAGGGGATGCTCTAACAAGATGCTAATATATCCTTAGCTCTACATTTAGAGTATGTCATTGTTATCTGTGGCAGCCCCAATCCAGAGCCCAAGCAAGCTTTCGGAAAAATTCAGTGTGGATCAGAAGAGATGATGGCCAGCCTAAGAGATCTCAATTAGACACACAAAGTGCCATTCTATTTACTCGTCAGGACAGACTGCAGAACACACACAAATGTACTGGGCTCTTGCCTTGCCTGTAAGCCACACCTCTTCCACAGGCTACATATTTACAGCATATTTACAGATGCTCAAGCTTTTATGATGAAGTAGTGCAAATAATATATATTAAGGGGTTGGTAAGAAAAAAGAGGTGGAGAACGGGTAAAAGGAATGTCTTTGTAGAGATTCAGCATTAAAAGGAGCCCCCAGGTATAGCAAGGCAATGAGAAAGAGTGATACTTCAAATTAGGAAGTTTTAATTGGCACCTAGTTACTTAACTCTGCAGACACTAACAAGCTGGCACAATCATATGGGTGGATATTAAGTACATACATTGAAAGTTTCCAGAACATTTGGAAGAAATACCCTGGGGGCAGATTAGGAAAAATAGTGATTCTTTTCAGAAATGAGCAGGTTAGCTTTCATAGCATCACAGAATCGTTATGGTTGGAAAAGACCTTCAAGATCATCAAGTCCAACCATCAGTCCTACCACCTCCAAGACAGAATCTCTAAACTGTTTTATCTCAAATCAGGTCTTTAAACTTGAACTGGTACCCATGTTCAAAACCATCTCCACCAAGAGCACCCTCAAAACTGATACATCTAACAGAAGAGTATTTTATGAAGATTTTAAGAGTACATTCTGGTGGCAATCATCAAATGCCATTTTCATACTACAATGGTAAGGCCAGGTCCCCAGTGCCAATGTTCAGCTCACTCAAATACCTTAAATAAATTCCATCCTAAGAAACAAAAAGCACCACAAAGAAAGCTTTTCTTCTGACAATCTACAATATTAGAACTGCCTTGAAAAGTAACTAAAGAGGTTATCTGTTAAAGCTGAGCAGAAGGAAAAAAAAAAAAAAGTTTACACTAGGGTTTCCACAGCCACACACTCCCATTGAAGATTATGAGATATGTTAAGTGTAGGCAGCACCCAGTGGAACCCAAAGCTCTTTTTTTGTTGCAATGCCACACCAATGTATGTATTAAAGGGGTTTGGCACATGGTGGTCACCACCCACCACACAAACAATTCCACATCAGAATTTTCCTATCACTCCTCTTCAGTTTACACAAGGAGCAAACAAGCCCAAGCCCTGAATGTGACAGTGGGCCCTGGGAAGGGCCGAGGGCCACAGCAGGGAACCCTGTCACAAAGGCAACCACACCAGCTTTCTTCCTCAGACATGCTGGTGCCAGGGGCCAGCCACTTCACCACAGAAGAGTCACCTAACCACAACAGAGATCTTCAGACAGATGTATTTCTGTTCCATATTACTGTCTCCAGAAAGGGTCTGAGACTGTGTTAACTCTGAGGTACACAGCTGCAGAAAGAGCTAGGAACTACACTAAAGCTACTGCCAGGAGACTCATTCATGTGCTTAGCCCACTCATTTGTGCAATACTCAAAACCCAGCTGGAGCAGGGTATATCAGAGATTCCTGGACAGGACTAAAGACAACAGCAAAACAAACAAAAAACCCTAAACAAAATATCAGCCCTATGCTGAAAAACAGCTTCTAGTCTCAACAAGCTGTCATTCAGCTTTTCCATCCTATTCCATTTTTCGTGACCCTTAATAGCAACACTGCGATTCAGAGGCTGGCAGCAGCTCCTGGGGCAATGAAGCAAAGAGAGCCATCTTCTTGCACTAGGAAGAAGGGATGCTATATCTTTAGATTTCCTTGCATCACATCCTCTTGTCATCTGAAATTTCTTCATCACCCTTTTGCCAATGAGAAGAAAACATCAGTATCTCCTCCCTTTGGGACAGACTTCAGCAGAGGTCAAAGAGCAAGCAGGCATGCTGTTCCCAGAATGATGCTGTTCATAAAACTATCAGCCTGATTCACACCAACACAAGAGCAGCTGTGGGACAAGGCAAACACCTATTACAGTACCTAACAAACCAAGAATTAAAGCAGGCTGCCTGCACTGGCCAGTCCAATCAGCACAGTTTTACTCAGATAAGCAATATTAGGAGCTGTTACAGAAGTGACTGCATCAGGTAATTTGTACAATTCCACTAAGAAGTTGCTCAAAGAAGATTTTGTCATGTTACCAGTTTGTCCATGCTCCAGGAACATGGCACAGATTATTAGAACACCCTTCAAACCTCAGAAGTTCTTCTAGAGGGAAAAAGATCACATTGAAAGACTTCCATTATATACACATAGAAACACCACTTTGTCAGGATGTGATGTTTGCATGATGACATTCGATCCCAGCTCTTGGAACCTTCCAGGTGTGCAAGGCTGTAGAATTCAAACTGAAATACTGTATCTCCTTGGCTGGAGATACAATTCAGGTAGTGTTTTACTATATAATATATAAAAAGAAAGCTCCATGTGCTATAGCTACGCAGAAAAATCAGGTTCATATGTAAGCTTCTAGCTTCTCAGAAATTATAATATCCAGAAACCAGAAGAACATTTTATTGTAGTAACAAACATGCTGATGACAGGCTGCTACAACCTGTAGTCCCTTGCATTTTCCACCACACCCGCTTGAACTGTAATTACAAATGGCAAAAGTGAAGTTACAGAGACAAAAATACTTGTTGGCAGCCCTTTCAGACCACTACTGAGAGTGGATTTTTTATTTTTCTGTTCCAGGAAGGGTTCCTTTCCCCAGATACTGTTTTCAAACTAACATCTACAATTACTTTCCCTGAGTACTTTCAGACCTGTCACTGATGTACCATTCCAAGCTAAAGCCAGTAGTTTTCTACCTACAGTAAAGAAAAGAAAATGTCTATTCTGTTACAGAAGTTTTCTGCTTTTTTGAAGCAGGAGACGAAACTATGGGGTGAAAACATCTCCTCCTGCATTCTGACAGTGGGGGGGGGGGGGAAATGGGAACATCATTGTCTGTAAAGATTTTACTTTTAACCAGGAGAAGCTACTGGTTAGGTTTTTATTGCTCTTACACTGAAAGGAGCAAGAGGAACAGCTCAACAACATGCTGGCCAATGACCTCAAGGCTGCTGTTCCGTTTGCAGGGTAGGATATGCCTACACAGAGGACATTTGTAAAAAATATTTATCAGCAGAGGAGAAGCATCACAGATGCATCATAGAATAGATTCCTAGAATCGTTTTGGTTGGAAAAGACCTTTTAAGATCATCAAGTCCAACTGTTAACCTAGCACAATGCCAAGTCCACCACTAAACCATGTCCCTAAGCCATGGTTGGAATACTTTTAAAACATTTAAGTAGGAAATACATGTCCTCATGAGGAACATCACAATGAGAAAGAATCCTAGAGAAGATTACTGAACAAAAGAAAGAAAATCCTGCCTTAGCAGAGACGTGTAACCATCTACTGGTGTTACAGCACTGACCTTTCAGCATCAAAGTCTCCATTTTCTGTTATTCAGTCACTTGTCATTTTGTGTACCCTGTAATGGATACCTTCCTTCATCCTGAAAAAAAGAATCCTGACTACTAAAATCCTCATTTTTGAGCTGGTAACTATCTATATTAGCTGAAACCACTGTTTGACTGCTATTTATGCCTGTGTAGATGGCTCTCTCAAAGTCATCTGGGCAATGCTGCTTTCCAAGCATGCATTTCCATTCGTGGCAGTTAACCACAGCAGTAGCTTTAGGAAAAGCTCCCAGCACACAGAACACTTCAGAGTAGCAACACATTGCTGCACCTGCGACTCCATAAAAGAAAACAGGGAGCAATTTTCCACTTTAGCCATAGATGACAAGGACTTCTCTTGGCAATGGAGAACAGTGGTGGTGCCACCTCTGGCCTGCAGCTCTGATGCTCCATGTTTGAGGTGTAAACTCACCATTCAGACATTGCTGACTGCAGCCAAGACTTACTTTGTCTGTTTGAGGCTCCTTTTGAATCAAATCCCCATCTCTTATAACACATTCAATTTGTAGAGGTTTTGATACTTGCAAACTGAATCCTCTTCTGAGGAAACCAAGCCAGATGCATAACAAGCCAGAGGCATACCAGGTGTGCTTGGACCCCTAGGGAACCACAAGATTCCAAATCAACAGTTAGTCTTTTGGCCAGTAATGAATCATTTTGTGTGGTAGAGGCATTTCATCCAGAGACTGTGCTAAATCTAGTCCAGAGTACAAATTTGCAAATCACATATACAGTGGAATATGTGCAAAAGCTGCTGAGGCCCCCCATGCTCTGAGTACATGAACTGTGTAGGTCTTCCCAGGATAATCCAAGGTGCTGGATCCCTTACCTGACTCTTTCTTCTTCAGCTTTTTTAAGCTCTGCATCGCGTTGCAGCACCTTCATTATCGCTTCTTGCTCCTCTTCTGTTAGGAAGCTTAGGTCAATCATCTTGCTGTGAGTGTAGAGGTTGGTAAAGTGTCCAGGAATATCTTAAACCCTGCTGAGGATAGTCTTGTAGTCTGCTTTAAAGGTGCAGGAAAAAAAAAAGTCTGCTTCAGCAGGCACTAAGAAAGCTAGACAAGGTTACAGTCAGCGGTTGAAAGAGCCCCAAATGTTGCTTTCTTGCAGTAGAGTATGTGTGTGTGTTTCTCTAGATGACAGACTTCAGGGGAAGTTTTGCATTCCTTCTTGCCATTGTAATGATGTCTTCTCAGCTTGTCCTCTCAGCTCTGCATCCTGGACTGACAGTTCATTGACCCAGCATATCCAGTGTTTAGGAACAAACAAAACATCTCCTATAAAAGAGACATGGGAGAACAAGCTGTAACATTAGGGAAGTATATTAAGTATGCATTTTTAATTAAAAGAAACAAGTTTTTCAGTGTGATTAAACTTCTTTGTGAAGTTCAAATGGTCATTTCAAGTCAAACCTGTTTTACAGACCTCTTTAACAAGGTGGCCATGAAAATAAACTCCTTTCCAACATGACAACTGACACTCTAAAACACAGAATCAAGTGTCATTCAAGTGATAAATTTTAAAATAAGCACATTTTAAGTTGGCCTTTTAGTCAGTACAATCATTTGGAGGAGAGGGAAGAGGAAAAAATAAAATCAAGAACATTTATCACATTTGACTAAAGTAAAAAAATAAAAAAAAATAAAAACACAAACAAAAAAAACAACCAAACACAAACATGTAGTCACAAGCATTGACATTCTATTCAAGAACACACAAAAAAATCTGTGTCTATGGCTGTCATATAAAGATAGACAAGAGCCAGTTATCTCCCAGGAAAAATCCACTGCAGCTTGCAGCCCTGATTTGCAGCAAAGCAGTCTACAGAGTGATGTTGCCCAACATGCATCCGTGGTGTTCACGTTCTGCCAGCATAGACTTGGATCACATCCATGAACTCTGTTCACAAGGGCTAGAAGTTGGATTTTGTTTGTTTAAAGAAAGAACACCTGAACTCCAGGAACAGAAAAAAACAATCACTTGGGACAAAACCCACAAGCTTCCCATGTTGGTTGACTTACTCCATTCCTACCAAACTGTGTGCCTTGCCTTCCACACCTGTCTTCCCACTCCAACTCTTCAAAGACTCCTTTCCCCTTTCAAGAGATCAGAAAGGCAGCAGTCATTGCAAGCCCTGGAGGAAAACCCCCAGGTAGTTGGCAAAACCCTGCCAAATGTAACATGTTGAAACAGTGAGATGGGAGGAGGCTGGGAATGTGTTAGAATTTGTATGCTCCAGTGGAAGGCTTAGGGAGCATGTTCTCAAATTGGTGCAATCCTCTTTCTGCAGAATTTTGTCATCTATTTGTAACAAAAACGTGTAATGCTCATAAAAGCTTCTCACATGCTACTCAAAACTAAAAGCAACAAGTTTAAGAGACTATTTCCTCAGAACCCCCTCAAATGGGATTTCTATAATAAACCTTTGACCAAAATGTTCTTTTCCCCAAAACACACAACAGTCCTCACCAGAAGGTCAGGTACCAGGTTTGCAAAGTCAAGTTTCTTACAGTTACCCTGGTAAGCTTTCTAGAAGCTTCTGTTAACTGCTGGATGGAGTCAGAACTGCTATGTCATTCTGATGAACTACCTTGAAGTCAAGAGGAAGGGAAACATTTGAGTAATTTCCCTTTCCTTTATATCAGTCCCTGCTTTGGGTAGAAAAGTCAGGGTATCTATGGCCAATATAGGCTGCAATAGAACTTAATTTACAGGATATAAATATAACTTTTACTGACAACACTCTACCACTGATAGTGTATAATTATGTCAGGAATATGATCCCATGTAGGCCAAATCACTGTCCTGCAGAACATAAGGAGTAAACATGAAATAATTTCCGCATAACCATCTTGAGTATGTGGAATTATAAGTCACACAGTAAGATGAACCTCACTGCTTTATACAAACAAAAGTACATTTACAAGCAGTAATTTAAAATACTGTTTTGTCTCTGCTACATAGGCCTACAAGGCAATCCCAGCTGTTGAAGACAAAAACAACTTCTTCAGAAAAACCTCAGAGGAATAAAAGATGGGAGGAGGACTTGGGGAGAAGGGGTGAGAACTCAGGTTATCTAGAGTCTCCTAGTGCCATAGGGTTACAGCACCATGGATGTAATAAAGCCAAAGAAAAATAAATAGTTTGAAATTATTGTAAGCCTCAGAAGCATCCCTACTGACAAACCTGGTGAGAGACAGAAGAGAAGCAAACGTTGTTATTGGACAGGTGTCTCTATTAGGCAGCCGCCCTCATAACCCTTTAGGTATCTTCATATCTAACCTAAATCTCCCCTCTCTCAGTTTAAAACCTTTACTCCTCATCCTATCACTATCTTCTCTGATTAAAAGCCCCTCCCCACCTTTCCTGTAGGCCTCTTTAAGTACTTGAAAGCCACTATAAGGTCTCCCCAGAGCCTTAACAGCCACAATTCTCTTTAGGTACCTGTGTTTGCCTCAGGGCCTTGCAGTCAGACATGGCCAGCTGGCACACAGGATGCTGGCATTGTATTGATCTAATGACAGCTAAAATCATGCAACAAGTCATTGTGTTTGTTCCCATGGCCACAGAGTTCAACCAGGAGATTAAACCAAGAACTTGGCACTGGCAGTACTCGGAGGGAAACCTCATGGGTATGTCGGTTGATGAAAAACTCAACCTGAGCCGGCAATGTGCACTTTCAGCCCAGAAAGCCAACTGTATCCTGGGCTGCAGCAGCAGCAGCATGGGCAGCAGGTCCAGAGAGGTGTTTCTCCCTCTCTACTCTGCTGTTGTGAGACCCCACCTGAAGTGTTGTGTCCAGTTCTGAGGCCTCCAAAACAAGAAAGAAATGGAACTCCTGGAGAAAGTCCAGAGGGAGGTGATCTAGCAGGAGGTGTGTCTGCCCAGAAGAGGAGAGGTTGGAACTAGATGATCTTTAAGGTGCCTTCCAACTCAAACCATTCTAAGATTAACCTCTAAGATAGCAGCATTGTTTACAGATGTGGAAGACAGCTGCAGTCAGGTTAATGATTACCGCCCCTACTGAAAAAAAAATAAAAAAATAAGCCAGACACCCTTCTGCTTGTGGTTATATTTGGCTGCTGTATCGATCTTCTTCAGGATTCTCATTGTGATTTTGTTCCAGGAGCTTGATATAACAATTTCTGAAACAACCTGCTATCTGTAACTTCATTTATATTTAGGAAATTACAGCCTCATAACTAGGCAGAAGTAAGAAGTGCTTACTATAGAGCGACCAACAATCCTAATTTGTTGAGTATCAACAACAGCGCTTCTTCAGCTTATGAATGGGTACAGATATCTGTTTGACTGCCATTTGGAAACTTTTCACACCATGTGATACACCTGTCAGCATCCACAGCACTAATCCAAAGCCCTGGATGGTGACTGGATGGCATATGCACTACTGCCAACAGGCACAGAAACTTATGTTGCAACCACAAAACCTGGACAGCTCTGAACTGGCATTACCAAGGATTTTTTCATGTAAGTTAGGCAAGTCTCTTGCCTCAGGTCAATGAAGTCATAAGAAAGTTAATGTAAATAGAATATCTTACCATGCCTTTGTGTTTAAAGAATGCTGAGGCAAGAAATGTTATTTTGTCTATTAATTACAAATCTAAAATACATTGGACAGCATTTATGAAACAAGTTGCAGGCTTCATCAGTGTCTCACAGCATACAAATTAATAAAACTAGTTAAAGCAGAACTTCAGTCCTCCCCAAAAGAACAAGAGCTTACAAGAGCCGAGTGTCCACACAGGCTGTGGGAGCTCACAGCAAGCTGTGCTCCTACTCAACTTGCCATCATTCTGTAGAGCAGTTTCTGCAACTAAGGTTGAAAACAAAGTGGGACTGCAATCAGGTGCAAGATACGACCTACACTGATACAACCTACCCTGACAGGCTCTTAGCCATGTTTTTCCTGGTATTGTCCATTCCACAGTTCACAGAGCTGTGTTCTGAGTTCAACATACCTACATTTGGCTTATCTGGAGCAGACTTTCCTCCCAGCTCTTCAGAGGAGGATGCTACATTAATTCTGTTCCACTTGCACTCATCCTGTAAGGCATCATATTAGATGATTTTGCTCCCATCCTGTTATGATAAAAAGTTTTTCCAGTCCTAGCTAGTGCAGCTGAGACCTTCTGGGTTCTTTTGCAAAGCTAACAACATAATGCTTTGGTTGAGGCATATTTGAGCACCTGAAAAACTGACCCCTGATCTCACTAGATAGGCAGCTGAAAAAAAAAAAAAAAGCCACCAAACAACCTAGCAATAATCAGTTTGGTTCTCACCTTCCCCCCAACCTAATGCGTATCACCCATATAGTGCAAATTGTATGACATTTCACTGTGATATCAAGTATTTAGTCACTGGAGCCATGCCAGCCACAAAATGAAACCAAAGCAGATTTTAGTCTCTGCCTAAACAACAAGAAAACCTCTTTCCATGTGTGGTGTACTTGGCCAACCTCATGAGACCTGCTGAAACAAGTTACTGCAAGGCTGGCTTTTTGCAGAAGTTTGGTAGCACTGATTCCAATCAGAGATGGTAAAACTTGCTGGCTTAGAGTATAGCAGCCATTATAAGACCTGAGGCCAATTAAAACAATTAAAAATGTAAAAAAAAAAAAAAGAAAATACAATCAATGCCTTCCTTCATTGCAAGTCACCTGCCACCACTACCCCAAGATAAATTATTTTAATTTCTTTTTGGACTTTTTTTTTCTCTTAAAAGCCTCTATACATGCCAAAATGAACTAAGAGGTCCCAAGTTAGTTTGGTGCCACTGCAAGTTTTCTTTTGATGGGAAAGTTTTAAGACCTAACTTTCATTTAAGAGTGAAAGATCCATATCAGACTGATTAAATCATGGAAATAATAGAAATACCATGTTGACTGATTTCTGGAGAAAGACTGCAGACTA